ACTTAAGCCCTTGGAATCAGCTCCTCATTCTTTCCCCTCCCTCCCCGTTACCCCCTCCCTTATGAACCCTTGATAATTTATAAACTATTATTATTTTGTTATGTCTTACACTGTCCAACATCTCCCTTCACCCACTTTTCTGTTGTCCATCCCTGTGGGAGGAGGTTATATGTAGATCCTTGTAATAGGTTCCCCCTTTCCACCCCACCTTCCTTCCACCCTCCTGGTATCGCCACTCTCAGCACTGGTCCTGAAAGGATCATCTGTCCTGGATTCCCTGTGTTTCCAGTTCCCATCTGTAACAGTGTACATCCTCTGGTCTATCCGGATTTGTAAGGTAGAATTGGGATCATGATAGTGGGGGAAGGGGGGAATGGAAGCATTTAGGAACTAGAGGAAAGTTGTATGTTTCATCGTTGGTCCATCACACCCTGACTGGCTCATCTCCTCCCTGCAACCCTTCTGTTAGGGAATGTCCCATTACCTACAGACGGGCTTTGGGTCCCCAATCTGCACTCCACCTCATTCAAAATGATATGATTTTTTTTTCTTTGATGTCTGAAATCTGATCCCATTGACACCTCATGGTCACACGGGCTGGTATGCTTCTTCCATGTGGACTTTGTTACTTCTGAGCTAGATGGCTGCTTTCCACCTTCAAGCCTTTAAGACCCCAGACGCTATATCTTTTGATAGCTGGGCACCATTAACTTTCTTCACCACATTTGCTTATGCACCCATTTGTCTTCAGCAATCATATTGGGGAGGTGAGCACACAATGATATGATTTTTTGTTCTTTGATACCTGATAACTGATCACTTTGGCACCTTGTGATCACACAGACTGGTGTGCTTCTTGCTTGTGGGCTTTGTTACTTCTGAGCTAGATGGCTGCTTGTTTACCTTCAAGCCTTTAAGAACCCAGACGCTATATCAGCCTCAAACTATTTTCATATCTATATGCCAAATAGAACATGAGAGCACAAATAAGCTAGGCACAAAGAAAGATGACACCAAATGAGCAAGAGGTAATGGAAACAATAGAGAACCAAAATAAATACACAAGCCTAACCTTTTGAAAGCATTAGACACTGTTCTGAAAACAACCATACATCATATTGGATCGGTGAACTGATAGACATACAACAATACATGTTATGGAATGCAATATGTATTTTTAAATGGAAAATACAAAAGATATAGCAAGAGACTATGGCTGACTGTTTTCCAAAGATGCTCATGCCAGTACCTTCTGTCTGATATATTCCTGTAAAATGTGACTCTGCCACTCTCCCATCCAAAGGTCGGGTCTCATTCCCCTTCCCTTGATGTTGGCTGCCAGGAGAACTCGTTTGTGACCAGTAAACAAAAAATCAAACTCCCTGTGAATTCCCAGTGACCCTAGGGGACAAGGTAAAAGTGCCCCGGAGAGTTTCTGAGTGTCTCTAAGGGAGCAGACAGCCCTGTCTTTCTCCCACTGAGCAACTAGTGGTTTTAAACTGATGACCTTGCAAGTGAGCAGCCCGATGCCTAATGACTGTACATACCATCAGGGCTCCTCTTGTGACCAATAGGTTGTGACAAATGGGTGACCCTTCAGTATGTTCTCTGCTTCTCGAGGCGAGGTGGGAACAATGGGCTCTCACATAAGGACGGTTGTGGGGGAGGGGGTGTCGAGCAGGCAGGGTCTCCTTGGGCTGTGCATCAGGTTGCTATGAGTGGGAACAGACTCGAGAGCACCTCCCACCACCACAAAAGGTGGGAAAATACCATGCAGCTGGCAGTTGGTTCTCGGGATGCTCCTTTGGGCCCTGCCAACAGCTTGGTTTTGAATTTATAGCCTCCAGAACTATCTGAGAATGTCTATTGTTTAAAAATATTTATTGTGGGCACTTGTTATGGCAATCAAAAGACACTAATGTAGGAGCCCTGGTGGTATCGTGGTTATGCATTGGGCTGTGATCCACAAAGTCAGCAGTTCGAAACCACCAACTGCTTCTCTGGAGAAAGAGAGGGTTTTCTACTACCATAAGCCGCTACAGCCTCAGAAACCCATTAGGTCAGTTTCACCCTGTTCTAGAGGGTCACTATGAGTCAACATTGACTTGATGGCAGTGAGTGAGAGGACACTAATCCAGGCACCATCTTATTGTACTGATCACTTCTGTGAGTCAGGAATTCTTGCAGGACTCAGCTCAATACTTACTCTGTTCCTCATAGTGTTGACTCAAGTCACGGCGTACTAGTTAGTTGGCTAATGGACTGATCTGGTGTGTCCAAGATGCCTTCATGCACATACATGTCTGTACCTTTGGCAGAGACTAGTGGAAGACTGAGCTTACCTGGTACTATTGATGGGGGAGGCTACGAATTACCTCTCCAATATGGAGATCTCGGGTGCTGGCAGGACCAGGCACCCCCTGAAAGCTCCAGGGAAGACTCGTGGGGGGTGTTTTTGGTCTCTTTCCAGCTAGCTCCAGACATCCCTGGGTGTGCACCTGCGTCATTGTGGTCTCTGTCTCTTTCTCCACATGTATTCAACCCACTACAGTTGCAATTCAAAGCCACTGAAGTTTTGCAACAGATAACCAGAAGAGAGACCTAAACGTTAAAATGAGTACTGACTGGAAATTTCAGAAGGCGAGGAAAAGTGGCTGAAGGAGAAACAATAGAAGGGTATCTGTGAAAGTATTGTTTATAGGGTTCCAGTTCATATGTAACACCGTTGATTTCATACAAGTGTTTAAACCTGTCTCTGCCATTCGTGGGTGTTTATAGACAAGTTCGCTCAGGAACACACTTACTTGTCTTAGTTTCGTTAAGGTGGCTACAAAAAAAAAAAGCCACTGCTGTCTGATTTATTCCTGCTCATGTGGTTGTTAGGTGCTGGCTCTCGACTCATAGCGACCCATGTACAATAGAAGGAACACTGCCCAGGTCTGTGCCATCCTCACCACGGTTCCTAGGTGTGAGCCCATTGATGGAGCCACTGGGTCCATCCATCTCATTGAGGACAAGCATTCCATTGGGAAACTCTATCCTATCCACGCTACCCTACACCCCTGATTTTGCCACTTTAGATTTCCTTTTTCATCCTTAAACTCAAATAACATTGAAAAGGAACTTGATTTGAGTTCCTTGAGGATGCAAAAACGTCTATTTGACATGGTATCATTGAAGAGTATAACATTCTTCAAGGCATGAATATAACAATAACAGCAAGGGTCAGAGAGGGAGGGGATAAAGGGGAGCTGATATCAAAGAGTTCAAGAAGAAAGAAAATGTTTGAAACTGATTGTGCTAGCAATTGTACAATTATGCTTGATCTATTTGAATGATGGACTGTTATGACATCGGTAAGAGCTCCCAATAAAATGATTAATAAAATAAATAAATAAAAGATGGAAGGGATTGTGAATGAGAAAACTTGACACACACACCCCAAATTTTTTTTTTTAAGGAAAGATTCTCTCTCACTGCCATCAAGTGGATGCCAACTCATAACGGCCCTATAGGACAAGGTAGAACTGCCCCTGTGGGTTTCCAAGACTGTCACTCTTTATGGGAGTAGAAAGCTCTGTCTTTCTTCCAAGGAGCGGCGGACAGTTTTGAACTGCTGACCTTGTGGTTAGCAGCCCAACTCGTAACCACTATGCTATCAGGGCTCTTATGGAAGGATTACATAGATGGAAACACCGCCTTCAGAAATATGTAGATTTAGGCAGAGGATATACTGGGAAACAAAAGCTTCACATTTGGAAATTTTGTTTAATAGAGGTTTCTATGATTTCATAACAATGCTTTTGGACTCATCCCTGTATTTGAAGAAGCAAGGGCTGAAAATTTTTCAGAATTGAAAAGGTAGCAATGTAGAGATTCAGGAAGCTCAACATTTACATACAACACTGTAATGAGCAATGAATACTCATTCTTTTCTAGCAAATGTGGAATATATATCAGTGTTGACTCTGCACAGTAATTGTGAATTAAATCTTACTCTTATAAGGAACTAAAACAATAAGTATACTATTTACCTAAATTACAGTGAGGCTAGAAATATACATAAAGGATGGTATATCATGTCTATTTGATTTATTCCTGGATTACAACATTGGTTTAACTTTTTTTAAAATGATCATTTATATACAGAATCTCTTTTATGTACTTTATTGTATAAATTTTATTTCTAAATTTTTAAAAGCTGAAAGAAAGCACATAGAAGAGGTCTATGAATCGAACATGCCAGTCAGCTCTACATTTGTTCAACAAATTCTCTTTCCTTTAAAAATCTTACTGTGAATTTGGTGAATGTTTACACAGAAAATTAGTCACCTCGTGTTAACGTTCTCATTATTTCCATCTGGTTCTTCCATTTCCATGAATCTAGTTTCCCTGCCCTACCTCATCCTGCCCCCTGGCCAGCCTTGTCACTTTTGCTTTCGGATGAATGTTGGCCTCTTGGTGTCATATAGAATGTTTTCATAAGTTATGGGTTCTATTGTTTATTTTATGAGCCAATTTGATATTTAACTGTAATATGTTAGTAGATATTTTTAGAGCACCACTATGTGCCAGGCACTGTCTCAGGTTCTGGAAATACACCAGCGGACAAAACAAGACTAAACCCCTTACATACTAGGAAAGCCTAGAGAGAGTATTTCAAGAATGATGGAGTGGTTGACTATGTAAAATGCTGCTCACACATAGAACAAGACAAGGACATAAAAAGTGTCCCCATGCATAGAACTGTTACATCCCAAATCGACTCCTCTAAGGTTCCCTGTCTCAATGAATTGCCTCACCATCCTGTATTTTCCCAAACCAGGGACTTGAACCTTATTTTTGATTCCTCTGTCTTCCTTCATTATCCCATTACACTTCTCATCCATCGTGAATTCTACCAAAGGAATTTCAAACCTAGGGAAGGCAAAGATGTGAGTCGTTTTGATTCATTTGGTCCATCAAGATACCGCTTTTCCTCTGCTTTTTTTCTCCTCCAGGGCTCAGGATGGCAATGTCCCTCAGTTCAAGAAGGTGGTTTTCCAGGAATTTACTGATGGCTCCTTTACTCAACCTGTATATCATGGAGAAATAAATGAACACTTGGGACTTTTGGGGCCATATATAAGAGCAGAAGTTGAAGACTTTATCACGGTGAGTTGAAGACAAGGAAATTACAATAAAATGAATCTGACATGCTAGATGACTGGGTTCTTGAACACTTGTGAGCAGCCATCTAAGGTGCAGCCTTAGGTGCAGTCTCCTCCCACGGGGAGCAAAGAAGCGTGACAGAAATCAAAGACAAATGGAAGCAATTAGTCCAATGGACTAATATTACAATCATCTGCACCTAAGCTTCCACCCTGGTGGGCCTAGAAGACCCTATGCATGTCATTATGTTCAGGACATCTTCTGCCATTGCCTTTTGTTTCTCCTGTTTGTTCGTTGAGGTCATTAGGGCTGATGGCTGTTTGCATTGCATTGTTTTAGAGGAGCCAGGTGCCATTTTCCAGGGAGTTGAAGAGCACTGGCTCTCTCTGGGAGACTTGTAGGAATGTTTCTTTAAACTGTCTACAGCTAATTTCACTATGGAATTAGCCTACCACTTTATCCTCCTGTGGTTTCCCTCTTAGGGGAGTGCCCCAGAAGGCTGTTGGTTTGCCTGATTTGGTATAGATCATTGCAAGTGGTGGGTGGAATTGCCTTTACCAGGTAGATCAATGCAGAGGTTGGGCAGAGGTTCCTGCAGCAGCTTGAAATGTTGGAGAGTGTTTGCCGAGCTGCCTTAGGCTGTGTGAGGCACTAAGGTAGGCGGGAGGAAGTTCCTTCATTCACGTGGTACAACAGAGGAAAATAAGAGCTCCCCAGGCACACAGGCAGGAATTCCCTGGTAAGATGTTGGGTGGAGTATCCCCTGGTGGAGGTCAGCTGTGTTTTTCCCAGCCTCAGGCTATGCTGCACAGGGTGGACCTCACCTAACTGGTTGGGGTGCTGGCGTAAATGCCCTAGGCTAAGGGTAGTGGTCTAGAGGTTGGCAGTGGAGTGTGAGAGAACAGGTAAGAGACAAAGAGGAGAAAAAAGAACTAAGCCTGCTGAGACTGTGGGGGGATAGAGAGATGAGAGGGAAACAAAAGTAACAATGTAGCTGAGCCCTGATCCCTGTCTGGGTTGTAAGGGTTTACTCCCTGCCTCAAGGCCAGCAGGCGGCAGCAAGGTGTGGCTGTGTTGAGATTAAGCCCCTGAGCCAGCTCCAAATGGTCCTGGCTCCAGCCGAGACAGTGGTGGGGCTAAGGTCAAGCCCTAGCTGGCCTCCACTGTGGTAAGCCAAAAGCCCCCAGTCCCTCAAAACCTTGTGGATCTGTGCCCACTTATCTTTATGATGCTCCTCCTGCGTTCCAGCAGTGTTGAATTTCCCTCTTAGTAACTCTCCTGGGTTGATTTCTGCAGCGTCCCCTAAAGTTGGTTGTTTCATCATCAGTGAAAGTTATTTTTCCAAATTTGTTATCTTAATTTTATATGTAATGTTTTTCAAATTTTAAAAATTAGTGGTAACCCATCAATCTGTATCTTGTTTATTCTCTATTTATTTATAAAAATCCCTCCACCCCCAGAGATTACAAAAAATAAACAAACAATAGTTTTTCCAGATATATATTTCCAGTTTTATGTTTTGCGTTTAACTTTTAAGTCCATTCATATTTTCAATGGACTGGAAGTGGTTGTGGTGCATTGTGTGTGCCAAAGATCAAAGTCATTATTTATTTATTTTCTCAAAAATAGGCATCTTTTTTCTCAATTGATTATTGATATTAAAGATGTTAAAGATTCTAAACTTACACAGTGTTGGTGGATTTTTTCTACCTTTAATTTTATTGTATTTTCTATATGTTCTACAATAAATATGAATAACTTTTTCAATCCTTTAAAAAATCTTCCTGAAATTTACCATGAAGAACCTCAAGTGTCAGCTCATGAGGTTATTGTCTCTTAAAATCCCTGCGGTGATATTTCATCTTTGACTTTGGAGTTGCTTTTAAAGTATTTAAGAATTTTTCTCCTTTGCAACCCCGAGTCCATACCTTAAAGAAGATCTTTAAGCTTGGGTTCTAACAAAATCCACCTCCTAAATCAACTTCTTCCATGGTATTAAAAACTTCAATAAAACCAAAAGATGGGCATTCTTATTAGGGATTTCAACTCTCAGCTGAAGACTTTAAGATCCTACAAAGAATAATGCATGTGCTTTTCTTCCCCCCTCATTCTTTTCTTTTTCTCTGCAGGTGACTTTCAAAAACCAAGCCTCTCGTCCTTACTCCTTCTATTCTAGTCTTATTTCTTATAAGGAAGATCAGAGGCCAGGATCAGAACCCGGAAAAAATTCAGTGATGCCGAATGAAACCAAAAGCTACAGTTGGCAAGTGCAGCATCATATGGCACCCACGGAAGATGAGTTTGACTGCAAAGCCTGGGCGTATTTCTCGGACGTGGACCTGGTAAGCAGAGGTGGTGCTGGTCACCTGATGGTGGAGAAGGACTGGTCAAATTTTGGTCTTTATCACCAGAGCTACTGTTGGTTGGTTGGTTGGTTGGTTTGCCATCGTGTGGCAGCTTGCATGTTGCTGTGATTCTGCATGGTGTGCCACCATGATTTCCAAGACCAGCAGGGCCACCCAGTGTCAACAGGTATCAGTAGAGCTTTCTCACTAAGAACAGCATAGGAAGAAGGAATAGGTGCTCCATTATTGAGGGAATATCCCGTGAAAACCTTATGTATAGCAGCAGAGCAGAAGACATTATCAGGGAAGGCTAGTCTCTGGAAAAGGTCATCACACTCAGTGACATATAGGGCCAGGGAAGAAGAAGCAGACTCTCATTGAAATGGATTATCCCAAGGGCTGAATCAAGGGGCTCAAGCAGAGGAACAATTGGGAGGATGGCACAGGACCAGGCAGGGGGTTTTGTTCTGTTGTTCATAAGGTTGCTGTGAGCTGTGAGAGACTACAGACTTGACAGCACATAACAAAGACAACAATCTCCAAAGCAATGGGGAATTTATATAGGGAGGTGACATCATGTTTGTTTTTTAGAAATAAAGAATCAACTGAAGAGGGACATACTGAAGTGGCATAAAAGCTTAACTGAAGTCTACTCTGTAGATGACTTGAACTCCTAGTTTTGGCTTCTTCCCTCCTCAGGAAAAAGACCTGCACTCAGGCTTGATTGGACCCATTCTGATTTGCCATGCCAACACACTGAGTGCTGCCTATGGAAGACAACTGACAGTCCAGGAATTTGCTCTGTTTTTCACTATCTTTGATGAAACCAAGAGCTGGTACTTCACTGAAAACAGAGAAAGGAACTGCAAGTCTCCTTGCAAAAGCCACATAGAGGACCCTGATTTTAAAAAGAACTATCGCTTCCATGGTAACATATCCTAGACCCAAATATTACTCATGGTAAAATGCAGCTTACACTATATCAAATGAGCCTTGAACACTATGTGAATCAAGAGTATATGTGTGGAAGTGGCATCCTCAGAAGCAGCAATGCTTGGGGTGAGCTTGAGAGAAATGTCTGCCATCTGTTTTTATAGCCTTCTGTGCTTTCTTCTCTAGCAATCAATGGCTATGTGATGGATACTCTGCCTGGCTTAGTCATGGCTCAGGATCAAAGAATTCGGTGGTATCTGCTCAGCATGGGCAGCAATGAAAATATCCATTCTATTCATTTCAGTGGACACGTGTTCACTATACGGAAAAAAGACGAGTATAAAATGGCAGTCTACAGCCTTTATCCAGGTATGAGCTGGTGCGTGCTTTTTCTTCTATTAAGTGCTTTAACTATTCTAGGCACTGGTCTAAGCACAAAGCAGATAGACTCCCTGTTCTCAGAGAACTTCCATTTTCAAGTAACTATAACTTAGAGAGAGGTAGATACAGAAAGCATACTCGAAAGGAAATCCAGCAGAATCATTTCATAGCGAACATGGGAGCACTGTCATTTTCCAGCTCACATCCCACATGGCATCAGTAGTTAGCCAAAGAGTTATTGGGTTATGGAGATAACCGGTATATTGACTAAGCTCTATTTACCATGTTTTTTTGGAACACAACGTAAAAAAAAAAGATTTGATAGTGAGAGCAAACGTCCCTTGTTTGGAGGTGAAAATTCTAAAACGCTCTGTGACTTCTCTGATTACTCTTAAACAATAAACAAACCTGCAATCACTTTACTGTTCAAATCATAAAACACAATGTCCCCTTCAAAATGCTACTCAAAACTCAGGAACTTGTAAGTAAGGGTGGTTGAGTCCTTTATTCTTTATGTTGGGTATACTGTGCTGATTGAACACCAGCATGGATACAGCAAGGGTACGTGGATAGGCTAGATTTTACTGACTTAAGTTGTTATTAGATGCCAATGAGTCAGTTCTGACCCGTAGTGAGCCTGTGTACAACAGAGCAAAACACTGCCTTGTCCTGCACCATCCTCCCAATCATTCACGCCCACTGTTGCAGCCACTGTGTCAATCCAGCTTGTCAAGTATCTTTCTTTGTTTCTTTGTTTCACCGCCCTTCTATTTTACCAAGTATTATGTCCTTTTCCAGGGACTCGTCTTTCCTGACATGTCCAAAGTATGTGAGATGAAGTCTTGCCATCCTTGCCTCTAAGGAGCATACTTCTTCGAAGACAGATTTATATATACAGATGTATATCTGGCACCATTCCCATTGCCTGCACCTGGCAGACACTTAAACTTGACTTTTCCCCTTGCAGGACATTTTCAGGGACTTTTCAGCAATGCTCTCTCATAAATTCCTCTTTTCCTGGCTGGTTTCACTTTATTTTGGGTGATTCTTGTGACTCGGACCTCAACCCTTCAGCATTCGCCTCTAGTTTCTTGCTACTGGGCTTACCCTTCTAGTCCCCCTTAGTGGACTAGACCCAAGAGGACTTCATTCTGACCTCCCTCCCCCAAGAATTCCTTCTGTTCAATGGGGGAACTTATCTTTTGCTCTGAAATATTCTGCGAGGGCAGGCTACTGTGACTGCATACTCCAGTCTCCACCATCAAAGCATTCAGTTACCAGCCTCTCCGTTCACAGGGAGGAGGGGCATCAGAACTCAATCCCCAATACCTGCAAGTGTAGGGGTCACATAGCAAGGACTTTGGGTTTGAGTGGTCCAAGAGTGATGTGACTGATTTCAAGAGATCTCTTTTGATATTTCTACATAAGCCAATGGCCCTTATGCTCTTTTTTTTAAGTGAAAAGAAACAATTACTCTTTTTTGTTGTAACAAGGTGTATTTGAGACCATGGAAATGCTGCCATCTAAAGCCGGAATTTGGCGTATAGAATGCCTGGTTGGAGAGCATCTGCAAGCGGGAATGAGTGCTCTTTTTCTGGTGTACAGCCAGGGTGAGTAGCACTGTGGGCGAGGCTCACCACCTCTCAGAGGCACATAGACTTTTCTTCCTGCCTGCAATAGTTGCTGATGTATGGAATTAATACAGGCACGTAAACTGTTCTCAGAGCTGGCAGAAATCATCAGTCCTGAGTGGGTGGAGGGGGGTGGGGTAATACTTGAAGCTTTGAACACTTTGAATTTGAAGCTCTAAATGTTTAATAATTGGTTCTAAAACATCTCTTTATTTTCACTAATTGATGGAGTTCCAAGAGCTCAAGAGCAGATCGTGGGACTTAATTTTGATTCAGTAACCAACTCTGGGAAGAATTAGGAATCTAATCCGTAACAAATCAGGGAACCTTATGTAGAAACTCAAGTTGCGTGTAGCACCTACCGCTGGGGTGAATGACATGAAACAGGACCATAAACATTTAGTACAGTTCATGACACATAGCTCACACCAAAAGACGTGAGCTTTTGTAATGTTCTCTCGTTTTCATGTACTTACAGCTTGGTAGCTGAGCTCTCTGCACTTCCAGCTACTGTTTCCCCTGTTTTGTTTCAGAGTGTCAGACTCCCCTGGGAATGGCTTCTGGACACATTAGAGATTCTCAGATTACAGCTTCAGGATATCATGGTAAATACTATTGTTTCCCTCTAAGAATCTGTGCTGATTATATATGGATTTTTAACTTTCTGTTAGATTCAGACAACCAATTCATCTCTATAGTTGTTATTAATTCTATTCCATAAGTAACTGTCAACTCCACCCCTTCTCCATTTTCCATTTTCATGATTTTAAATCAGGTCATGATCACATCTCACCTTGGCAATGATTCTGCCTCGTTGAATGCCCTTCATTTATACTGCTCTTCAATGTGTTGTAAAGCACAGATCAAATTACTCCACTTCTGCTTAAAACTTCTCAGTGGCTTTCTGTTCCCTTCAGAACAAGACCTTCTGTGACTGAACTCTGCCACAGTCTCCATTCTCGTTTCGACTATTCACTGGTCCTTGCATCCTCTCCTTCCAGAGCACTGAAGGACTCTTGCCTCGGTGTGTTGGGTCGTCTCATGACTCTGCCTTTGCACATGCTTACTCCCTCTTTAAGCTATTCTTTTTTTTGTTGTTGTTGTTGTTTCTTGTTTAATCATTTCATAGAAGAGTATGAGCGATGTACAAAAATGATTTTCAGCTTATGCTTACACTTGAAAGGAAAGTTTTAAGAGTGTTGTTGCTACCATCCCTCCAGAACACAGAGATCTCTTTAAAAAAGAAGAGGGCCAACAGCAAAAGCAACCTCCTGCAAAATAAGCTAGTCTTTCCTTGATTTTCGGCCTTGCAAACTCTTTCATATCCTTCAAGACCCAGTTTCTAGCTTTGTATGTTTTTCCCCCTTAGAGATTTTTTCTGTAAGCCATAAAATCCACAGATCATATGATTCAATAGTTCCATCATATTAAGAAAAGTACAATCATCACCACAATCAATTTTATAACATTTCTTATTTCTTATACTCATTGTTGTTAGCTCCCCATTTTACCCCAACCCTCCCCCGTTATGCCCCTAGGTAATTTTTTTTTTGCCCCTAGGTAAGTATTAATCCAATTACTGTCTCTATAGATTTGCCTATCTTGGATTTCATATACAGGAAATCAGCAAAAACAAAATCGAGAAACAATAAGAAACCAACAACAATAGCAAAATAATACTGAGAAAAACCTCAACCAAAATGCAAGCAGAAACTTAAAAACTGGAACACATTTAAAATGGGTCAAAGGGGAGATCAAATGATAAGGTGTTACTTTTAACCCTCACTACATCTACCATAGAAGCCCTTACAGTGCTCTCCGATAGCAAAGGCCCTCACCTCCCTCCACTACGGTCAGAGGGGATTCACTCACTCGTGGCAGAATCCATGTGAGGACCCTGCAAATGGATTTTGGGCTCCCACTGTCATCCAGCGTCTTCTGGAAACTGGGTTTCACAATTTAAACTCTGATATCATTCCATCCTTCAGATTTGGATTTTTTAATTTATAATCCTTGGATCACACAGGCTGGTGTGCTTCTTCAAGGTAGATTTAGTGGATGGCTCATTTAGATGATAGCTTGGTAAAGAAAAGCTTTAAAACTCCACACACTGTTCTTTCTGATAGCTGGACATCATCTGGTTTCTTTACCAACTTTGCTATCGCAACCATATGTTCCGTGATCTCTTCCTAGAGTGAGAAAATAAGAACACAATACAGCCTGCCACCTATTTTTGTAAGTTGAGGAGTGAAAAAAAATGGCTTTTATATTTTTAAATAATTTGAAACATAAAAGGAAAAAAAAATATTTCCTGACACATGAAAATCATGTGTTCTTCAAAGTTCAGAATCCATACATAATTTCATTGGAACACAGCCATCCTTCTTTGTTTGCACATTGTCTATGACTGCTTTTTCCCAAACAGAGTTAAGTAGCTGCAACAGAGACCATACGCTCTACAAAGCTTAAATTACGTACTATCTAGGCTTTTAGGAACAAATTTCACATTCCTGTTTTAGAGGATAAAAATTCTCTTTGAAAATAACACTTTAGGTTATTTACTGAAATAGTACCATAATTTTTTTTGAGGCAGACGAAGTTTGTTTGGAAATGTCTTTGATTTGTATTTTTACTTACATTTTATTTTCTGATTTTCTACAATGAATATATATTTTAGTTTGTTTATTTTTAACAATTTCAGCAATACACAACTCACTTCCCATACATCTCAACAGTTCAGTCACATTTGTAAGAGTTGTGCAACCATCACTACAATTAATATTTTGTATGTAATAAATTAATATTATTTGTTAGCACTGGTAAAACAATTCCAGTTTCAGCTCATTAGAAGTATGAACAATCAACAGAATTATTAAATGTTAGTGCATCCTCAGCTACGAAGGCTTTACTCATTTCTGTTTTCTCCACAACTACGATTAGTTTTTCTCAAGAGAAGAATTTCATTCCCAAGTGCCAAGAACCAACCTAACTAAATCTAATCTCTCTCGCTTTGTTTGGGTAAAGAACAATGGGCTCCAAAGCTGGCCAGACTCCATTATACTGGATCAATCAATGCCTGGAGCACCAAGGATCCCTTTTCCTGGATCAAGGTTAGAAAAACTAATCAATAATGGGAAATAGATCATATTTAATCACATGTCTTCCTCTTGTAAGCTCAAAGCTCAAGGATGCTCTTGTGCTTTATCTATCTATCTATCTATCTATCTATCTATCTATCTGTCACCAATCATGTTGTCTCTCAATATATTGTCCATATATGTCCACACACCACCACTTGTCTGTGAGTTTGTGTACTGTGGTGGCATGTGCGTTGCTGTATGTCACTGGTGTTTCAAATACCAACAGGGCACCCACAGTGAACAGGTTTCCATGGAGCTTCCTAACTAAGAACAGACTATGAAGAAGGACTCACCTGTCCATTTCTGAGGGATTAGCCACTGAAAACCTTATGACTAACAGTGCAACATTGTCCAAAATACCTATGGAAAATGAGTACCTTGGGTTGGAAGGCACTCAAAATGTAACTGAGGAAGAGCTTGCTCCTCCACTGGAGTCAACCAACCATAACGCCATAGAGGGAGTACAGCTTTCTGCACCTTCATTTTCTGATGTGGCATGACTGAAAATGACAAGAAACAACTGCAGACATCCATTAATAATCAGAACGCAGGACGTACAAAGTATGAATCTAGGAACATTGGAAGTAGTTAAATATGAAATGGAGTGCATGAAGATCTATATCCTAGGTATTCATGAACTGAAAAGGACTGGTATTGACCATTTTGAATCAGACAGTTATATGGTTTACTATGCCAAGAATGATATTACATTTGATATTACATTTATCCTCAACAAGATATTTCAAGATTTATCTTGAAGTACAATGCTGTCTGTGATAGGTGAAGACCTCTATACTTAATGCTGTCTGTGATAGGCTAATACCTCTGCTTATAAAGAAGTCCAGTTAACACATTATTCAAATTTAGACACTGACCATTAGAGATAAAGAAATTGAAGAATTCTACCAATGTCTTCACTCTGAAATTGATCAAATATGCAATCAAATTGTGTTGATAAATATTGGTGATTGGAATGCAAACACTGGAAAGAGGAAGGATCAGTAGTTGAAAAATATGGATATAGTGATAAAAATGAAGCTGGAGATTGAATGATAGAATGTTACAAGGTCAATGGCTTCTTTATTGCAAATACCCTTTTTCAACATAAGCAAAAATTATACACATGAACCTCATCCAATGGGATACACGGAAATCAAATTGACTACATTTGTGGGAGGAGATGATGGAGAAGACCAATATCGGCAGCCAAAACAAAGGCCACGGATGACTGTGGAGTACGCCATCAATTGCTCATGTGCAAGTTCATGTTATGGTTGAAGAAACTTAAAACAAGTTCTCAAGAGCCAAAATATGACCTTGAGCCTATCCCACCTGCATTTCGAGAACATCTGAAGAGTAGAATTGACACATTGGACAATAATGACAGAAGACCTGATGATTCTACTGTCCCCTACCACCGCACCACTTTCTGGACCTCAGCCACCATTTCTTCTTGTTTGAGGTTACCAGATTCACTCTCATGATTTAGCTTCATTGTCTTCTCAACCGTTCCAACCTTTCTTAAAATGCTTAACACATCTACAAATTGTTCTTTTATGTGGACCAGAATTCCCACAAACTTGTTGACAAACTTCAATTATTTGGGATGTTCACTTAAATTTTTTATATTAAAAAAATTGAAAAATAATTTTCCTTGGTACAAAAAGTGTCCTTTTTTTGAGGCACCTTTACCAGACTAAGACATGTGCATCGATGAAAGAACTCCTCTTCAGCCATCTGTAAACATGTTTTGTTTGGAATAGACCTGTGTACATATGACTTACGACCCTCATAAATATCTCAGTTATTCTCACCAGACCCCATTTAACAGATGGGAGAAACTAAAAAACGGGGTGGCTTGTGTATTGTACCAAAACTGGGTTTGGACTATTGACTTTGCTGATAGTAACATCGCAGAAGGCCACGAGTGTAGAGAAAGAGGAGACAGTTTTACCAGAAAACATATAAGCAGAAGCAGAGAGTATATCTATTAATGACTCATCAGCTTACATTTTTTTCTGTAATTTGAGCTGAATGTTCACTAATCCCTAAGTAATTTTTTTGTTTGTACTGCTGCCAAACTATGTATTTACCACCTTGTGGTTTTGGTTGTTCTTGTTGTTTAATAAAATTTTGTTGTGTTTTCTATGAAAGTTTACCTAGCGAATTATGTTCCCTCAGACAAATTTTGAAGAGCCTGGCTGCTTCTGTGGGCTCAGCGTTGGGCTGCTAACCACAGTGTCAGTGAGTCAAACTCACAAGCCCCTTTGCAGGAGAAAGATGAGGCTGTCTGCCCTCATAAAGATGTATAATCTCAGACACTCTACCAGGCAGTCCTGCTCTGTCCTACATGGAGCTGTGAGTTGGAATCCATTTGATGACAATGGGTTTGGTTTTAACGATTGTATCTAATTGTTCCATGTTATTGATTGCAGTTGTTTCATGATTCAAATCATAAGACATTCTTTGGTCCACAGGAACACCTCTCCTTGGCCAGCAGCCAAGTCTTTCTGTGGTCCTCAGCCTCTCTGCCATGTGGTCCCTTGGTCTCTGCCTTGTTCAGTGGGCTTTGCCACCCAGTCTCATAGTCTCAGCACTGCAGGCTCCTCTGCTCTGGTGCCTCCGGTCTCAGCATATCATGAGCATTGGCGCTTCAGACAGAGGTCTCAAACAAGTTCCGCTGGTGACTTTTCTTCTTGATGTTCCCAAGAAATCTCTCCGTGGTTCCAATTTGTAAAATGTGTCAGCATGATCATTCCCATTCTCTTTGTTCCGTTTCCACTGGTCTAATGTTTCTTCCCCTCCTTGCCTTCTCATCTCTGTTTCGGGGTAAATGTTGATCCTTTGGTCTCATCTAGCTCATTGTTTGAGGTGGCGCATTATGCATAGTGTTTAATTTGGAAGCTGATCTATTATGTGGCTGAAGGGTGACTTAGAGGTTACTTTAGGGCGATAGTCTTCATTCGGGGTTCCTGCAGTTTCATTCAGTCCTGTAGGTTGGCCTTTTTAAGGGATTTAAATTTTGTTCTATGTGGTCTTTCATTCTAGTCAGGAACGTAAGGAGCCCCGGTGGTACAAAGGGTTAAGAAGTGGGCTGCTAACCACAAGATTGGCAATCCAAGCACACTGGCCTCTTCACAGGGGAAAGATGAGGCTCTCGTAAAGATTTACTCTAAGAAGCAGCTCTACTCTATCCTATAGGGTCTATATGAGTTGGAAGCAGGGGGTCAGGTTATTCATAACCTCCTACTGTGTCCCTTGTCAGAATGGTCGCTATCGGGAGTTCTTCTGGTCTCTGGTTTGAAGATTGTATGAGTGTTATTGGTCCCATTGGATAGGTGTTCATTTAAAAAAATAATTAAATCATTTTATTGGGGGCTTGTACAACTCCTATCACAATCCACGCATATATCCATTGTATCAAGCACTTTTGTACATTTGTTTCCCTCATCATTCTCAAAACATTTGCTTTCTACTTGAGCCCTTGGTATCAAGTACCTTGGCTTGGTAAAAGCTCCTCATTTTTTTCCCTCCCTCCCTGCTCCCCCTCCCCCATGAACCCTTGATAGTTTATAAATTATTATTATTTTGTCATATCTTACACTGTCTGACGTCTTCCTTCACCCACTTTTCTGTTGTCTATCCCCCGGGGAGGAGGTTATATGTAGACCCTTGTAATCAGTTCCCCCTTTGTCCCTCACCCCTCCACACTCCCGGTATCGCCACTCTCACCACTGGTCCTGAGGGATCATCTGTCCTGCATTCCCTGTGTTTCCAGTTGCTATCTGTACCAGTGTACATCCTGCGGTCCAGCCGGATTTGTAAGATAGAATTGGGATCATGATAGTGGTGGTGGGGGAGGGGGAAGCACTCAAGAAGTAGAGGAAAATAGTATGTTTCATTGTTGTTACACTGCACCCTGACTGGCTCATCTCCTCCCCGAGACTCTTCTGCAAGGGGATCTCCAATTGCCCACAGATGGGCTCTGGGTCCCCACTCTGCACTCCCCCTCATTCACAATGCTATGATTTTTGGGGTCTTTGATACCTGATCCCTTACATGCCTCGTGATCTCACAGGCTGGTGTGCTTCTTCCATGTGGGCTTTGTTGCTTCTGAGCTAAATGGCCATTTGTTTACCTTCAAGCCTATAGGACCCCAGACTCTGTATCTTTTGATAGCCAGGCACCATCACCTTTCTTCACCACATTTGCTTAGGCAGAATCAGTGTTCCTTTGACTTTTGATTGCTTTCATGCATTTCTGCTCCCTATGAGTAAAGACCAACGGTTGTATTGTGAAAAAAGGAGAGAAGGTGGGAACTGTCAATGATTTTGACTTGCTTGAATTCATAATCAATACTCATGGAAGCAGCAGCCAAGAGATCAAAAGAAGCACTGCCTTGTGTAAATCAAATCTACTTCAAAAGGCCTCTTTAGAGTATTGAAGAGTGAGGAAGTTACTAACGTGCACCTGACCCAAACATGGTATTTTCAATTGCATCATATGCATGTGACAGTTGGAAATTGAATAAGGAAGACCAGAAAAGAATCAAGGCACTGAAATTATGGTGCTGGAGAAGAATACTGAAAGTACCATGGACTGCCAAAAGGAAAAACATATCTGTCTTGGAAGAAGTACAGCCAGAGCTCCTTTGAAGCTAGGATAGCAATGTTCCATCTGACATATTTTGGACATGTTGTCAGGAGAGACGAGTCCCTGAAGAAGGACATCCTGCTTGGTAAAGTGAAGGGACAGGGAACAAGAGGAAGGCCCTCAAGGAGATGGAGCGACACAGTGGCTGCCACCATGGGCTCAGGGCAGGGGTAACATTAGCACAGGACCAGACAGTATTTTGTTCTGAACTGAACTGAAAGCATCTAACAACAACAACAACACACACACACATACAAACACACATGGAGGCTTCAGAAAGTTCACGGGAAAATTCCATGATCTTTTGTTTCCATTTTTCAATGAACTTTTTGAAGCCCCTTCATATACACAAATATATGCGATATAATTGGTTGGTTTCCAAATACAAATTTCATGAGGGAAGGGCCTTTTTCTTGTTCAATATTCTCTTACTAATGTCTAGAACAGTCCTCGGCACCAAGCAGATGCTCAAAAAATATTCCTTGAGCTGCTTATTGGGCAGACACAAAATCCCAAAGTTGGTCTCTGTGCACTTCAGAATCAACCAAGATTCATTACAGGAGGTGAACATACCTTTTCAAATAGATTCACATAAAACATTGCTTGGATTTGTAGGTGGATCTGTTGACACCAATGATTATTCACGGCATCAAGACCCAGGGTGCTCGCCAGAAGCTCTCCAACCTCTACATCTCCCAGTTTATCATCATGTACAGTCTGGATGGGAAGACGTGGCACGGTTATCGAGGGAATTCCAGAGGGACCTTAATGGTAGGTTATGAGCTTTCTCACAAGAAGGTATGAATCCTGTAAAGAGCTTTTGACACATTTCAAATATAGGCCAAACACTTCTAGCTGCTACAGATTTAACTCCCAAAAAGTTTTCCACCATGGACAGTAGGAGTGATTGTGGTTATATGGACACAACCAAAGTATTAATATCAAGGATCTTATTGGCTATAGAAATGAAGAGATGAAATTGACAGGAGAGAGAGGTGGTGGGGTTGGTGTGTGTGTGTGTGTGTGTGTGTGTGTGTGTGTGTGTGTGTGTGTTTTAGAATCCGCTTGCATACCCAATACTGTGCTCATAGGGGGTTGCTTCCCCACCAAGTCCCCACGGCAAGGCGTTTAGACCAGAGCCTCAAGGAGGCTTCTCCTCAAGCCAGAATGCAAGGGTTATCAGCAGTCACCCTCAGTGGCTCTTAAGCGTCCCTGTCCTAAGAGAGGACTGACCAGGCCTGCAGTCCCTGCTGGGGAGTGTCCCAGAAACAGCCAAAGAACAGAGGAGCGTGCACTCTGACCAGATTTCCGGTCGACTGGGCCAGGAGCCTCCTGCCTAGCAGCCGAGTGAGAGCAGAGGAAGGGTGGCCGGCTAGCTGCCAGCTCACTCGAAGACGGGCCTCTCCTGGATTCCCTGACCTGTTTGCTGGGCCCACGCAGAAGCAGGCAGAGAGAACAGAAAACCGACCCCGCCACATCCTGGCGTCCCCACACGTGTCAAGGGGGATGGAACTGTGTTGATTTCCAAGGGCTGCTATTTGGGAAGTCGACCACCAGGCCCCTCTTTGGGGTGGCAGGGGTGGCGGGTGCTCTGGGCAGACTCAGACCTCCAAGCTTCTGATTAGCAGCCAAGCACTCGGACCCACGGGACCACCCAGGGATTAGGAGAGAGTCCCCTCAAAGTCACACCGATCTGAGGCACCCGCACCCCAGGTCTCTCCTCCCATCCCATCCCAGAGGTTGAGCACTGCATACGTGGTCAGCCTGGAGAAGCCGAGAGGGCTCGCTGCCCTCCAGGTCAGCTGCTCCCAAGCCCGGGCCACTCTGCTTCCCGGGAGAAAGACGAGGGTGGCTGTGGAGCACCGTGCAGAGGGACAGGCTCAGAAGCCCCCAGGGGCAATTCCATGTGCCCTGTCCTATAGAGTCGTTCGCCGGGAGTCGGCATCGACTCGTTGGCAGTGTGTTTGGTTTCCGGCTTCGAGTCGTTAAGGATGAGGCCACATTTCCCGGTGTGCCTACCACCCCGCTCACAACTAGGAACTCATCCACAGAAGAGGAGGGGGCGGGGGCAGGGAAACGAGAGGACAGCTACGGTGGTTTTGGTGTCACGTTTGGACTGAGGGTCCTTGGAAATCGTGCATCGTACGCATGGAGAGCCACCCGGCCTTTTGGTGGCAAAGGCTACTGACCGGATGCCAGAGACGTGCTCTTTGGATCAAAAGCAAACTGCAGGCAGGCAGAGAGGGAGAGAGAGCCCGATTGCAACAGAAGCTGCGATTCAGGTCGCACCCGTTTGGCTACCAGAACAGGACCCGGACTGTGAATCCCAGTGCTGGGGCGGGGGTGGGGAGGACGACCACGACGACGACAGGAAGATGGGTCGGCAGCTCGCAGAACAAGGGGCCTCGGGCACATCGGCTCCGGACAGTTACTCCCTGTCGTGCACACCCCACATGGGTACACTGCACGTGCTTGAAGACGACTGCACGTTCCACATGCACGAGGGTCTATTGGCGCGGCCAGGGGAGGCCCCAGCTCTGCTGCTTGCCTCCCGACGAGGGGACTCAGATGGCCATGTGTCGCAGACGGGGCACGTTAGACCACCCAGTCGGGAGTCTTGGCGCGGCACACTTCTCCCTGTGCATTTAGGGCTGGCTGTATCAACAACCGAGCCGTCAAGCACCCAGTGACTCCTGGGGATGGCTAGGGGGGCAGACGGAACACAAGGCAAACCGGTGATCGCAGAGCCCTTGCACTCAGCTCAGAGTCCGGAGAAAACCGCAGAGTTTAAGGACAACCCTGCGTCGTCCAAGACAAAGTGCGGTGGGGCGCGGTCGTGGAAGAGGAGGAAGGGTATAGAGTGGGGCGCTGCATGGGAAGGATGCCAACCCCAACACCCTCAACGCCCCGCATCCCGTGAGACCTGCTGTCCAACCCTGGACACCTGTGAAAATTGACCCTCCTTAGAAGGAAAGAAGGTTCTTGGCAGATGCCACACTGAGTGAAGGGTCTGGAGGGGAGAGCGCTCTTGGTTAGCCGGATGCGGCCCCGGGACGGCGGAGAACCTTGTCCCTCCTCTAGCGCAGGAGGGCCGCCCAGTGACGAAGGCTGGAGGCAGAAGTTGGAGGGGTGCCTCTAAAAGCCAAGGGCTACCGGTCTGAAGACGGAGAGGCGTGAGCCAGCCCACAGAAGGCACTCTCTTCCTGAGCCTCCGCTTTGGCCTCCAGTCTTGTGAGGTTCGTGGTCACTCGTTAGGGCAGCCCTGGGCAACCGCGAGACCCTGACTTCTATGCCGCGGCCTTGGGGGAGAAAGTCCTGTCCTCTGGCTGGCGTCTGTCCTTCCGGGTGCGTGTGCGTCCCCTTCCCTACCACTGGCAGCCGCGCGAACGCCCTCGCAAGAAGGGCCAGTTGGCCTGCTTCTGAAAGGCCAGAGGCTAGAGGAGCCCTGTGGAGCAGAAAGCCCTCCTCTGGTCCCCTAGGGTGGCCATGAGCCATGGGGCTCCAGCCAGGGCCACTACTGTCTGCTCCTCCTGCTGGAGGAGCGTGCGGGGGCTCCGGGGACCCCGAGAAGGACACCACTGTCGCGAGGGTCAGGATCAAGGTGTCTTTTATTTCAGGTACCATGCAGGGGTGGGAGCAGCATGAGGGGGTGGGGGTTGGAGGGGAAGGCGGACACTGCCCCTCAGATGCCCTGCCCCGAGGGGGAGACAGTTTCTTGCAGCACGAGGTGAAGGAGGTGGTTCTGCTCGGCACTCAGCAGCGGCCACAGCTCGCGCTGCAGCGACTTGACGGCTTCGGTGTCCTTCTCGTGGGTGGCCATGACCAAGGATTGGAGCAGCAGAAAGAGCTCCTCGGGCAGCTGACCACTGCTGTCCTGCGCGTGGCCGTCGAAGGCGTCCCAGGAGTACTTCTCCAAGGTGTGCGCGTGCTCGGGCAGCAGCTTGGCGGGCGGTGGCTGCAGCAGCAGCAGCAGTAGCACGCGGGACACCTCGCAGCGCACCAGCACGTCGCAGAAGGCGCCCAGCGCAGCGGGCGGAGGCGCGGCATTGCCCGCTGTCAGGCCCGAAGGGGCAGGGGCGGGGGCGGCTTCGGGATCGGGCCCTGACCCTGGCCCCTGCTGAGGCCCGGGTGGCGT